CGGCGTTGCGCAGAGGTGCCTCGGGGACCCGGGCCCCAACTGTGCCGCGACCGCTCTGTTTTTCAGAGTCCTGTCGGCTCTCTGGCATTTTGGGGTTCCGATGCCCCGAGCGGTCTGGAGGCCCGGGGCCAAGATGGCGTCGACAGGCACTCTCAGCCATCGGTGATGCTCGAGTTTGTCGTTGTGATGCCCTCCGGGGTGGGTCGCGCTGGTGCTCCTCTTTGAAAGAGGACTGGGCGTTTGGACTCTGGCTTCATTTTGGAAGTTCAGCCGAACAACCAGCTGACAGGGAGGAGAGCTCGTGGAGCAAGTGACGTCTGAGGCTTGAACCTGGGACAGAATGATTTGGGTTCAAGCAACGACTGTGGAACCATGAGGAAGGAGAAGGTCATTCACTCATCCAGAGAGCATTTGTTGAGACACTACCATGTGTCCCATGCTGAAGTCAGGGAAGACAGCCTCGAGGAGGTGGCATTTGAGCTGAGCCATGAAGGATATGCAAAATTTCTGTAGGGGTCAGAGGGAGAGGCAGCAGCTGAAGCACAAGCAAGGCCTGTGCCGAGGTGGTGGCATGTTGGGAACAGTTAGCAGAGATGTGATGGGCCAGTACCAAGGGGCTGGGGAGCTGGGATGGAAGGGGAGGTGGAAAGGCAGAGTGTAGTCAGAAGAGGCCCTCAGATCTTAGCTGAGGAGCGGGATTCTACTCTGTGGGCACTGGGGAGCCATGGCAGGTTCATGAGGTGGGGTGGGGATGATACAACTCACTGTCTTTTAGACAGTGTCAGTGTCGGTGGGAAGGACAGGAGGGGCCAGAGTTTAGAGACACCTGATGGATGAGACGATGATGCCCTGAACAAAGGGTGTTTACCATGCCATCTTTCCCTTTCAGGAGAGGAGGGGATTTCTGAAGACCTGCCCGGCTGGGGTGGCCTTTCCATTTCTTAACATAAATAACACATGTTGTGACGGCATCAGCCATAGCACCCATGGAAAGAGCACGTGCTAGGGGCCGCCCTCCTTCCAGGCACTCCACGCAACGGTTAGCTCAGTGCCCCCTCATGATGGTCCTGGGGGGTCGTTATCTCTACCTCCCAGATGAGAAAGCGGAGGCACACTCTTCACCGACTTGCTCAGTCACATGAGTGGAGCCAAAGCATGACCCCGGGCAGGGTTATGGCTTTCTGGGCATCAGACACATTTTCAGTCATTTTCCAGACCCCTTTGTGTGTCAGCAGGTCTTCTGCTGTGGAGCTTCTTGTTTGGGACGTGGTGGTTCTACTCTGAGGGCCGGCATGCCTAGCAAGGTGATCGGTGGTTGTGACAATGTGACAATGTGAAGCATTTCCAGCCTGGTGTCCTCATACTTTGGGAACTACAGCTCATAATGCACATACTGTCGGGGAGTGAGGGCCTGAGGCCCTGGTGCGGCACTACTCCCTCCTGCCAGGTCTCAGTCAGGAAGTGCAGCTCCCAGCACTTCCCTGGACATCCCTGGGGTCTGCTCTCTGCCACTGAAGGGGAGTGGAGATTGCGACCCCTAGCTAGTCGCTGGTGCCCCAACATGCTGATGCCAGGCAGGTTCCCTTGTCATAGAAATTCGGAGATGTCAGCATCTTGGTCGGCTAGGGCTGCAGGAACAAACTACCGCAGACTGGGGGCTTCCACAGCAGACATTTATTTCCCACTCTTCTGGCTGCAAGTCCAAAACAAGGAACCAGTGGATCTGCTGTCTGCCAAGGACCCTCTTTGTGCCTTGCTGACGGACTCCTTGTTGCGTCTGCCCTCGGCCGGGAGAGTGAGGAGAGATCGGCGGGGGAGTAAACTCTCTGGTGTCTTTGGCTTGTATCAGGACCCCAATCCCACCATGTGACCCCTTCTAGCTCTAGTGCCTCCCAAAGGCCCCAACTCCAAACACCATCAGACTGGGGTTTACAGCTTCAACATGTGGACTCTGAGGGTGACACAATTAGTCCATAGTAGTTGGCTAACAATATTATCTGTATTTCATGGGTGAGGAAACAGAGGCTCAAAGTTTGAGCAACTTGCCCAAGATCATACAAGTGGGAGCACTGAAATTCAGGCCTGTCTGAGTCCAAGACCTCTGTTCCCCTGTCCCAGGCCCCAAAAGTCCATTGGTGGGGCAGCTTGGCATAGTCAACCAAGGCAAAGAATGAACAAGAGGAAGGGAAAGGGGATCCAGGACAAGCTTGGGGGTGGCTTACCTGCCTGTGCACCGCCCAAATGGCTGTGCTGGGCTTCACTTCAGCACCTCTAGGGACTCATGAACAAGTGTTGTGGTGTTGAGATGCTATTACACAGGGAACCTACCACTTCCTGAATCCTGTCCTGAACTTTCCTCCCCTTGCCCCACAGGGATCTCAGAGTGCTATCCATGTGAAGATTCAGCGGAGAAACAAAAGACGCCTTTATTATTAGCTAGGTCAGCACCCCAAGTCTTCCCTCCCTATGGAATTTTTGGGTCATGTAACCCCCTCTCTGCTCTGTCTAAAGACCTTTTTCACTTTGGATGTTTACTCACCTTGCTTTGTAGGAATGGAGGGGCAGACAGATGGCCAGTCAACCCATCTGCGCCTGTCATTAGGCATCGACCTTTTTGTGTTGTGTGGTGAGGCGCTGGGGTAGAACAACGAACAGGACACATATCCATGTCCTCAAGGAGCCCCAGCCAGCAGTAGTGAAGACCCCCAAGGAATAATTACCAGACAGACTGGTTGTGTGGAGCCATGGACATAGGACTGCAGAAGGACTTGATTCTGCCTGGGGAGGTCAGAGGGGCCTTTCTGGGGCTTGAGAAAGAGCACAGGACTTCTGGAAATGGCAGGGACCCTAGAGGGACGGGCGGTGGTGTCCAAGGGGCTGCCGACGCAGGGGCTGGGAGGGGGAACTTCGCCAGCCTGAGAAAGGTTGCAGAGGCTGGGACAGGGGTGTGATCCAGCACCACCATGCCGTGGGTGCCAGACAAGCTGAAGTCAAGGTTTGCCTGGGAGGCCCAGGGCAAAAGCAGCCTCAGGCTTGCATCTGGTAGAGCTCCCTGAATCCCAGCCCCACCAAGCCCCTTGTGATGTTGCCGTGAAAAGAAAGGAGACAGAATCCCGTTGGAGGAGCTCGGCCCGGTGTCCAGTGATGCCTCTGAATCCCCTCTCCCCCTTGCAGTGGGCCTAGGGCTGGGCGAGAGAAGCAGTGCCAGGACCAGGGAGACCAGGGTGGAGGAGAGACTCCGAGGAGCGGATCTAACGTGGCTGGAAGGACCCGAGCCTGGGGGGGGTTGAGGTGTAGGAGCCAGACTCCACCGGGGAGCCGGGCTGTGGAAGAGAAAGAAACCCTGGAACTGGGAGAGGTGCAGGTGTTGTGTGCTGGGGGTGCACCCAGCAGAGGCTTCCACCAGGGGGTGCCACTAGAAATAAGCAACAGTGTGGACAGGGTCCCATGGAAAGGGACGTGCTGACTTCAGCTTGGGCACAGGCTCCCGAGGCTTCTGCCCAGCGGGTTTCACCTCTTCAGTCATTGGGCAACCAGGGTCCCAGGCGATGGGGCACAGGGGGACTCTGGGCCGTGGCCGTTTGCCAGCGGGGAAGGCAGCATCTCCCTGTTCAAGCAGTCCGCGCAGTAGCTGCCATCAGCCGTACTGCCACCAAGTCGCAACTGTAAAAATGCCCAGGACTTCTCTCTCAGATACC